CTAGTAACCTGGAGTATCTGCCCAGCCAAATCTTGAGGGATGAAGAGTCAGGGGATCTGTCCAAGGTGCCAGGAGCTAGTGACCGCAATGAAAGTAGCAAATCAGTTTGGGGCTGTAAAGACAGGGTTGGATGAGGAAGTGTGCAGGTTTGAACTGACTGGAAAAGCTCCCCCTCAGAGTCCATCTTCGGGTCCACTCAGGACCTCCAGTCCCACTGCAATCTTCCTCACCTGGCTAACGAGCACTTTTCCCAGTTTGGTTCAATGGCCTCTTCAAACGCCAGTTATCTCACCCATCCCTGTTGGGGCCGGAATTCCTGGGCGACCCCTAGGTCTCCATGGCAACAGCGGTGATTTCACTCTGGGCTCGGCTTACCACCCGGGTGAGGTCACTGGCCGTTGCCAAGGGAACGGGAGGGTGCAAGGAGTCGGGAGGGGAGACCGTGGGAGTGGAGAGGCGTGGGCAAACTTCTGGCCTGGGGATGCGACCTCGCTGAGGGGCGAGGGGGAGCGGTCTAGTGCTCGGGTCTCTGCTCGGCTTCCTGTCTCCCTCCCCTCGCGGCCGCGAAATGGACTCGTCCGGTGGGGAGGCGGGGCACAGCGGCATCAGACCCGCCCTTCCCGAGAGACCCCTCCCCCGCGCCCAAGGCCCCTCCCCTGACTCCCCTCCGTCCTCGCCGCGCAGCCCCCGCGTGCCGGGCTGCTGTCTGCGGGTGGCAGCGGCAACGCGGGGAGCCGGCTGCAGGCGGAGATGCTGCAGATGGACCTGATCGACGCAGCAGGCGACACTCCCGGAGCCGAGGACGACGAGGAGGACGACGACGAGCTCGCCGCCCAACGGCCTGGAGTGGGGCCTCCCAAAGCCGAGTCCGGGCAGGAGCCGGCGCCTCGCAGCCACGGCCAGGGCCCGGGCACCGGCAGCGGGGACACCTACCGGCCCAAGCGGCCCACCACCCTCAACCTCTTCCCACAGGTGCCGCGGTCTCAGGTGAGGCACATTTCGGCGGGGCAGAGCTGAGGGGGCGGCGCCCGGGGTGGACAGGGAAGATGGAGGGGCGTGGGTGGGCCCTGCTGGTGGTGGGGTCGAGGACCCTGTCACGGTGCCTGGGGAAGGACAGGTTTTCTGCAGGGAGGGCCAGAGGAAGGACTTGACGAGGGGCAGGAAAGTCCTGAGAAGTCTGTCCGGTTGGCTGGGTGTGGAGCCTGGAAAGGGTTGAAGTTGTCGCCAGGGATTCCAGCGGGGAGATTTGCAGGGGCCTAACAAAGGAGCTGGGTTCCTACGGCTATGACAAGGTCATCTTTGGGTTGGGGGCTTCTGTGAAGGTTGAGGCAGCAACAGCGCCTGGCGAAAAGAGCATCTGAAATGGGATGAAGCCGGGAGTGGGAATTCGGGGTCTGCAGCCAGTTGGACATCTCAGCAGCTGGGCATTCCAGAAAGCAACACTAGAGACGGGGGATGGAGTTACTTGACTGAGTTGGGGGCCTAGGGCCCCTGGCAGGTGGCTGGATGCCAAAGAGGGCTGCCTTGACCCATTGCCTTGTATGCCTAGGCAGGAGAGGTACTGGGAGGGAAGGAGCTGGGGAGGTGGAGCTACTGGTGGATAGTTCAAGGGCTCAGGGAAGGGTTGCTCCCTTTCCCAGTATCCTCTGGCATGGATTCTGCCATGGATTCAGAGTTGGCAGCTCAACTCTGAATGTGTGTGTTGCTTATGGTGTTCCCTGGAGAGGGAGCCCAAGTTGTGTGTGCAGAGCCTTGCTCAGGGGTCCCAGGAGGCTAAGGATGTGGGATGTGTGAGCATTCTGGGAGATCCAGGTAGTAGGACTGCCATTCCTTAGTCACGTGGGGTGAAGTGGGGGTGAGTATTATGGAAGTCATGGTTCGAGTGATTCATCCAGGCCACAGGCCAGCTTTTGAGGAGACCCTTCCTTGTGCCAGAATGCACCCACCACTTTGCTAGACCCCAGGTTTCTGAGTTCATCACCCTGTCCTTCACCAGGCTGGGTTTGAGCATCAGAACATGGCTTCCCTCAGTGTCTGGGGCTGCTGTCTGACTCTCCTGGGAGCTGTGCTGCTCGCCCCCCCCCCATCCGCTCCTCAGCACCCACACTGGCCAGCACCACTATTGCATCTTTCGAGGGTTGTCTCCTAGCCAGCAGGCCTGGGGGAGGGCGGTAATCTCCCACCCCGCCTGCTAGGGAAAGGTTGGCAGCGGCCCCTTGGGCAAGGCCAGATGGGGTGGCCTGATGGGGCAGGCCCAGGACCTCCCTGTGCCGGGCACTGCTGGCCACCTCTTCATAAGAGCCTTTTGTCCTCTGCACAGGACACGCTGAACAATAATTCTTTAGGCAAAAAGCACAGTTGGCAGGACCGCGTGTCTCGATCATCCTCCCCTTTGAAGACAGGTAAGTGAGACTTCTCCCTGAGCTAGAGACCCAGCGGCCCTCACCTGGCCCACCTGGGCTGAGGTCGCCTGGGAGCCAGGGACTGGTGGCAGAGCCTGCCAATGGAGGACAGTTGGGAAGAGGAGGGACAAGTGTCGGAGCGCAGCTCTCAGTACCAACTTGTCTGTCCTCTAGGGGAGCAGACGCCGCCACACGAACACATCTGCCTGAGTGATGAACTGCCACCCCAGAGCAGTCCTCTTCCCACCAAGGATCGAGGCACCTCCACCGACAGCCCTTGCCGCCGTAGCGCCGCCACTCAGATGGCACCTCCAAGTGGTCCTCCTGCCACTGCACCTGGTGGCCGGGGCCACTCCCATCGAGACCGAATCCACTATCAGGCAGACGTGCGGCTTGAGGCAACTGAGGAGATCTACCTGACCCCAGTGCAGAGACCCCCAGACCCTGCAGAGCCCACCTCCTCCTTCCTGCCACCCACGGAGAGCCGGATGTCAGTTAGCTCGGATCCAGACCCAGCTGTTTACTCGGCAACTGCAGGACGGCCACACCCCTCCATCAGTGAAGAGGATGAGGGTTTCGACTGCCTGTCATCCCCAGAGCGAGCCGAGCCACAAGGAGGGTGGCGGGAAAGCCTTCGGGAACCACCCCCGCCTCCACGGGCCTCATTGAGCTCCGACACCAGCGCCCTGTCCTACGACTCGGTCAAGTACACGCTGGTGGTGGATGAGCATGCGCAGCTTGAGCTGGTAAGCCTGCGGCCGTGCTTCGGAGACTACAGCGACGAGAGCGACTCCGCCACCGTGTATGACAACTGTGCCTCTGCGTCCTCGCCCTACGAGTCAGCCATTGGGGAGGAGTATGAGGAGGCTCCTCAGCCCCGGCCGCCCGCCTGCCTCTCAGAGGACTCCACGCCGGATGAGCCTGATGTGCACTTCTCCAAGAAGTTTCTGAACGTCTTCATGAGTGGCCGCTCTCGCTCCTCCAGTGAGTCAGTGAGCCGGGGATGGTTGGGGCTCTGGCCAGGGAAAGCTGAGATGGAATGAGGCCTCAGATGGCACATGGTCTTTCTGAGAGCAGGCCAGAGCTTTCTACTTGCCCTAAGCTGAGGCCACCTCCTCCAGCCTATTGACTTCCTACAGGTGCGGAGTCCTTCGGGCTGTTCTCCTGTGTCATCAACGGGGAGGAGCATGAGCAATCCCATCGGGCCATATTCAGGTGAGGGCTGCCCCCTTCCATGCCTCTGCCAGCCCATCACTGGCATCCCCTCAGCTGCTGGGGGACAGTATCCCCTTGTAGGAACTCAGCTTAGAGACAAAATGATGAGGTGTTATGAGGAAGCTGGATCTGTGTGATGAACCTGGTTAGGGACCTGAGCTGCCTGCCCTGCATAGAACCTGTGCCCCATCTTACCTCCTCTAGGCAGGGTGCCCACCTTCTCTGGCCTTTCAGTTATCAAGACCTACGTTCTCTTCCTTCCTGGCCTCTGAAATCCTGGGTAGCAGATGCATATTTGAGTGCCATGTGTCCCTGAGAGGCAGCATTGTGACAGGCACATGGGCATTTTGCAATTGTCAATGGCTCAGGGTCCCAGATTGGGTCTGGCTAAAGAACCCTGATGATCAGTACCACATGCCCTTGGGGACAGGTTTGTTCCTCGACATGAAGACGAACTTGAGCTAGAAGTGGATGACCCTCTGCTGGTGGAGCTGCAGGCAGAAGACTATTGGTACGAAGCCTATAACATGCGCACAGGAGCCCGAGGTGTGTTTCCTGCCTACTATGCCATTGAGGTCACCAAGGAGCCTGAGCACATGGCAGGTAGTACTTCCCTCCAGTTTGGTCCCACCCACCCCTGCATCTACCCACCAAACTTGTCTGCTAGTGAACATGCCCCCCAGGTCTCAGCTAACCAGGCAGGAGAGCAGAGGTCATTTCAGTTCCTTTTACAGAATGGGAGGCCCAGCCAAGTAGCACCCCGCTGCCTGAGTGACTCCTCAGGCTGTTGTTCTCTCCTTTCTTGGCTTGGCTCTGAGCCCCATGCTGAGGGTTCTCTTACTATATGGTTGCTTTCCAGCCCTTGCCAAAAACAGCGACTGGACTGACCAGTTCCGGGTGAAGTTCCTGGGCTCCGTCCAGGTTCCTTATCACAAGGGCAATGATGTCCTCTGTGCCGCTATGCAAAAGGTACCCAAATCTGACTCCTTGCTTTTTCCTGGGGACGCCTATCCTCAGCCAGCCCCCACTACTGGGAGAAAGGACACGGGTCTGGAGGCAGTGCTGTGATGAGGGATCCAGAGAGAAACACAGAGCTTCCCTGTGTTTCTGTCCCGTGCAGATCGCCACTACCCGCCGGCTCACCGTGCACTTTAACCCGCCCTCCAGCTGTGTCCTTGAGATCAGTGTCAGGGGTGTTAAGATAGGTGTCAAAGCCGATGATGCTCAGGAGGCCAAGGTGACTCCCTTCAAGCCCCAGGCAGCCCTTTGCTCCATATGCTTCTCCTCTCTCCCCGTGTGCCCACCCTATCCCTATTTGTCCCTCCTGCCTGCTTCCCCTGCAAGCTGACTCTTGCTTCTCTCGTCCCTCCTGTAGGGAAATAAATGTAGCCACTTTTTCCAGCTAAAAAACATCTCTTTCTGTGGATACCATCCAAAGAACAACAAGTAAGTGGGAGAGGCAGACAGAAGAGCCCCAGTGCTAGGCTTGGGCCACCGTGGGGGGAGGGTAAGAATTTTGTCTCACTGGTGCCTGCCTTCCCACAGGTACTTTGGGTTCATCACCAAACACCCTGCTGATCACCGGTTTGCCTGCCATGTCTTTGTGTCTGAAGACTCCACTAAAGCCCTGGCAGAGTCTGTGGGGTGAGTGTGTGTGTTGGTAAGGGCCTGCCCAAGGAGCGTGCCTGTCACAGCCCTGGCATTTCCTCCTGTGCAGTGCC